GCCCAGGGGGGTTGTGGAGTCTCCTTCTCTGGAGATATTCAAAGCCCGCCTGGATGAAGTCCTGTGTAACATGCTCTAGGAGAACCTGCTTTGCAGGGGGTTTGTACTAGATGATCTCCCGAGGTCCCTTCCAACCCTTGTCATTCTGTGATTCTGTGATCCCATTTTGGAACAGGCTCACTGAGTGACTCCCCTGGCTCACCACAAGGCTCTGTATGGAAAATGAGCATCCCAGCCCTGCTTATCTGGTGTTCATGTTGTCACCTGGTGGTGACATTTGCATTTGCTTCAAGGAGGGGAAAAATCACAAATGCAAAAACCACACAATGCCCCCAAAAAATGGGGATGAAAGACGTGCATGAATGAAAAGAGCATTATTGAAGTTGCCTCACTGAGCACTCAAGCTAGGACACGAGAGTAGTTAAGTGCCCCATGCAAGTCTTGCTCACTTTTTCTTTCTTTGCATCTTTTTGATCCAGTTTTTGGTAATCAAGTGGTATCTCTTTTACAAGACTCTGAAAGTAGTACAGAGAAGGGTAAGAGTGAGGTTGCTCTCGGTGGCATGCTGCCTCATCTGTTGCAGAAATCAGAGGACACATAAGGAATGCAAGAGGGAGAGAAAGGGCCTTAGGGCTAAGGCAGTTTGATGCCATGGCAGGGAATTGACTTTCTCCTCTCTGCCACAGAGCCGTGTCCTACTGAGTGGGTCCAGCCAGTGGGCAGCTTGCAGCAGCATGCTCGGCTTCTCCATACAGTTTGCAGGACAGGGAAAGGGAGCTGCTAGCTGCAGAGGTGTGCTTGCACACTTAAAACATGCAATCTTAAAATTAACCGTATCATACTGAAACCCCAGTCTAGCAGGGTTTCATAGTCTCTGCCCCAGCTGTGCATCTGATGGCGTGGAGCAGCCCTGCTCCCTGCTTGCCGTCAAGTTATTGTGAACACAGAGATGCTAATACTTGTAGAGCACTCGTGTGCTCTAGTGATTGCACTGCAAAGCCATATGTAGAAATCAACAACAATCAACAACTCTTTCTTCAGAACCAGGGTTTGAGACATTAAATGAGGTTCTGGCTAAGATACTGGATCACTTCTTGCTAATTGAGCTTTGGACAACCTTTGACTGGAACGAGGCATGTGCCCTAAACCAGTAAATGCTAAACGGTCCCGAAAATAAAAGCTACACATGAACGCTGGTGCATGGGAGCACTGACCTGAAATTACACAGGCAATGTGCACTCGTGTTTCCTACCTTTTTGCGTGTTTAGCATTCAAACCTCGGGAATGTTTTTTCCCCATGGTCAGAGGAGCTTTGCTGGGCGATGGGGCTTGTTTTGCCATAGGATAAATACATGCAGCAATCTGACATCATTTCATCTTTTCGCAATTACAGTTTCTCTGCAGACTTTGCTCTCTTTTAAGATGCAAATTTTAGTCTTTTATCTATGAGAGAGAGGAGCCATGATATGCTTGTGGTTCTCTGTGGCATTTGGAGGTTGGCATTTGGGGGGTATTTCTGTTGTGACAGCAAGCCAGGT